CCCCGCCTCGCCACCGCCACTGGGAACTGCAAGTAGCCTGGGTGGGCTGCACAAGCCGAGCCATGGGAAGCACTGAGTCACCTCCTCCAGAATGATCAGGGTCCAGGTCAAAGCCTTGAAGCTCAGACACTTCGCTGGGGCCACGAGGGCCTCTTGGAAAGTTTTAAGCAGGGATGTAGCCTGATGAGTTTTGATTTTAGAAAGATCACTCAGGCTCAGGGTGGAGAAGGGCTCAGAGGGGACAAGACTGGGAGCAGGGAGGCTAGGTCCGCAGCTCAGGGGATGCTGGCGGTGTGGACCGGCGGGGCGGCACAGGGAGCCAGGGAGGCGCAGCCGTACTTGCGAACTGTCCACGAGGCAGAAGGAAGATGAGTGGGACCCAGCGGCGTTCAGAGGCAGGGCCTGTGCCTCTCTGTTGCCCGGCACCAGAACAGTGCCTGGAACGCAGCAGAGGAGCAAAGAAGTGCCTGCAAAACCAAAGGAGAAGCAGAGTTGGAAGACGGCAGGGGAGGAAGCAGGAAGGTTTGAGGATAAAGAAGAAAGGCCAGGAAGGAGGGTGGGGTGGGTACTAAGATGCTACGGTTTGGAGCAAAGGGGGCAGGTTTGTTTAACTGATGGCAGTTATCCCCACCCAGGGGGCTGTGACAGTCAAGAAGAGACGGTGCTGGCACAGGGTCCAGGGTGTCTGGAGTCCCCATGATACACACAGACACTGCCCTCCCAATGGGGCCACAGCCCACCGGCTGGGGATGGACAGGAGCCCAGCCAGAGAGGGGCTGCGGACTCGCTGGGAGCCAGGCTGGTGCTGAGGTCTCCCCCGGGCACCGCCTCAGTCAGGGCACTGGGATGGAGCAGAGAGAGGCGGGTGCTTGTCAATCCCGCTTCAGGAAAATTGGCTCCGTGATGTTTATTGCAAACTGCAATTTAGCATCCCTATTCAGGTGCTCTTGTGTTTAATTATATATAATACGGTGCAGGGAGGAAAGAGGGGAGGAAGCATTTATGATTTTCCCACCAGTCCCTTCCTCCCTGCATGATGTAAGGGTCAGAGGTGAGAAATGGAGCCCAGCAGAGGGAGGGAAAAGAAAGCCTGGCGTGGCCGTGGCCTTGCATGCCAACCTGGGGCAGCAGAGCCGGGCCAGAAAGCAGCGTGTGCTCCCCACTTTCCTGCCATAGACGCCTTTCCAGCAGCCCCGTGGCGTCTCTGCCCTCAGGGACAGCCAGTGGCTCTGGCTCAGGCTGGGAAATCAGTCAACAAACCTTCACAAGCCCCCAGGACGCCTTGCTTTCCCAGGCCCAGAGAGATTGATTTGCCCCACCCACCACAGAGCAGGTGGTGAGGAGCTCCTGCACCCCAGCCCCACTCCTGACCGTGGGGCTAATGCTCCTGGGAGAACAGCCAGGTATGTCCAGACAGCCCCCGGGGCTTAGACGGAGGCCCTCTGAGTTCTTCAGCTTCCACGCTGGACAAACTTGGTTTGCCACCAACCCAGGGTCCCCCTGCAATCTCGGCGTTTCTGCCTTCCCTTCAGTCCTCCCTCCCTCTCCAGAGCTGGGAGGGCAAAGCACCAATTAGTTCATTTGCTTGTTTAATTGGGTAGGGAGGGGAAGAAAATTAAACTCCTCAACAGGAATCTTCCCTGCAGGGCCAGAGATAGAATTAGGGGGTGGGGACCCCCATCTCTGAGCACCCCTCTGCCTGCCCTGGCTCCCCACCCCCCACCCCCATCTCCATGCCCCAGATCCCCAGATCAGAGTCGGAGATTATGGGGCCCTGGGGAGCCAGAGTAGGAGGTCTACCCCACCCTAACTGGGCCAGCCCCTCCCAGAACTGACGCGGGATGGAGGAGGGGCACGACAGGGGAGGGGGAGGGGGACCAGGCTGGGGCATTGCCTCAGGGTCTGGTTCTCTTGCTTTGTGCCCACCTCTCCGACTCCGAGAGTCCTCTCCCTCTCTTTCTCTCTCTCTCTCTCTCTCTCTCTCAACCTCTCTCTCTCTCCACCTTCCTCTCTCGGCTCTAGAAAAGCCCCTCCCCCAGGAAGACCCTGGAAATGTGGCCAGGTTTCTAGGGGGTACCGTGGCCATTGTCCTCATCCTTGGCGTGGCTCTTGCCATCTTCATACTGCATCACCGACAGCAGAAGAACCAAATGGAGCCGGACTGTGGCGGGTGAGTGTTGGCAAGCCCACCCATCGGCCCACCCAGACGCCCCCTTTCAGCTGCCGCTGCCCTTTCTGAGAAGTAGGTGTGCGATTCTAATCCACGGTTTACAGATGAGGAAACGAGGCACACAGGTTAAATGCTTTACACACGTTTACCCCAGCCGCTGACAAAGGGTGAAGGCAAAAGTCCATGGTGAACGGAATGTCAACATGTTAAGTAAAGACAGGATCAGAAATAGTATCATGTGGGGCGCCTGGGTGGCGCAGTCGGTTAAGCGTCCGACTTCAACCAGGTCACGATCTCACG